TGAAATGGAGGTAGGTTTAACTAACTTATAATAAATCTCGATTTGGCCTATTCCCAGCATCTCTCAACTTCAGATGCAATGCTACTAGGTACTTTTTTTTGGGGGGAGGGGGTGACAGTCTTACCCTGTCACCCTGAGTAGAGTATTGTGACATGGTAGCTCACAGCAACCTCAAAATCTTTGGTTTAAGTGATCTTGCCTCAGCCTCCCAAGTAGCTGGGACTACAGGTACTCACCATCATGCCTACCTAATTTTTTCTGCTTTTAGTAGAGATGGAATCTCAGTCTTGTTCAGGCTACTCTTGAACTTCTGAGCTTAAGCAGTCCACTGGCCTTAGCCTCCCAGAGTGCTAGGATTATAGGCATGAGCCACCACGTCCAACTGCTACTAGGTAGATTTATTATTTTTTTTTGAGACAGAGAGTCTCACTTTGTCGCCTTCGGTATAGTGCCGTCCTAGCTCACAGCTCACAGCAATCTCAAACTCTTGGGCTTAGAAATCCTCTTGCCTCAGCCTCCTAAGTAGCTGGGACTATAGGCGCCTGCCACAACGCCCAACTAATTTTAGAGACAAGGTCTGGCTCTGGCTCAGGATGATCTCAAACCAGTGAGCTCAGGCAATCCACCACCCACCTTGGCCTCCCAGTGCTGGGATTACAGGCGTAAGCCACCATGCCCAGCCCCCTACTCGGTGCTTTTAATACAGTCTCAACCATTAGAACAATCTAGTTAATTACCTGCCATTTATGAGAAAACAGACCCAGAAACATTCAATGACCTGCTTGTCAAGGTCACAAAAAGTTATGATCCTAGTATCAAAATAAGACAACACTGGTATGTCAGCATTTATTTTGCAAAACACAGAATGCAATAAAAAACCCTGCTATTTTGTTAAGAGCACAGAATATGTATAAAATTTCAAAAACTATGAAACTAAATATTTAATGCATTTATAAAAAGTTTACAAACACGTTACAAAAGTTAATACATAAGCTTATAAAACATATTATACATCATTTTAATATTGACTGTATTTGAATTAACCATGAAAACAGATAATTAAAAAAAAATCCTTCCCTTAAATCTAAATAATCCTGCCTCTTCTTCTGAGATATTCTTTAATTTGGGGGTCAGGGACTGTAACTTTTAAAAATTGATAAATTAAAGCAAAGGGTTTTTTTTGAGACAGAGCCTCAAGCTGTCCCCCTGGGTAGAGTGCTGTGGCATCACAGTTCACAGCAAACTCCCACTCCTGGGCTCAAGCAATTCTCCTGCCTCTGCCTCCCAAGTAGCTGGGACTACAGGTGCCCGCCACAACAGCCCAGCTATTTTGTTGTCGTTGTTGTTGTTGTTGCAACCATCATTGTTTGGCAGGCCCAGGCTGGATTCAAACCTGCCAGTTCAGGTGTATGTGGCTGGTGCCTTAGCCACTTGAGCCACAGGCGCTGAGCCTAAACCAAATGCTTTGGTTTAAACAGAAAGAAAGCATTTGTCTTTTTTCTTTTTCCAGTCTCATGCATAAATGGATAGTCTGACACCAATGCCTAGATAATTTAAATGCTGTCAGGGTTCTACTACACTCAAGGTAATAACTGCTTGCAGCTTCCACAGCTAGACCTGGAAACTGTCTACAGTTTGTCTTTTTGCATAAACTGAAGATAATCACAAGATGATTCTGATTTCCAAAGATACTGAAGTAACATTACTAACACAATGACCAATATTTGCAGTAAAAGTAGCTTTATATTCCAGATACCAGTCAACCAGAAACTAGTCCTAGAGTTGCCAATTTCAAAGATGAGGCCTTGTGCAAACTGAACAACAAGCCCTCAATGTTCAGCTGTGTTGCCAGGTGCTCAGAGCAAAGAGGGGGCCCTGGTGGGCGTGCCAGTGAGGATGGCAGGTGGCCGCCATCTAGTGGACAAACCACTCTAAGACATCATGGTTCCAGAGTTTACTCAGCCCAGAAAAGAAAGTATCTTCAAGGTCCACACTTGGGATTTCTCCCTTAAGTAGTAAATACACATTCTCCTTTGGATAATGGATTTGTTTTCTTTTTCATTTTCAGAGACAGGGTCTCACTCTATTGCCTAGACTGGAGTGGCATAGTCACAGCTCACTGCGGTAGCTAGCTAAGATTACAAATGCATGCCACGGCTTGGCGCCTGTGGCTCAAG